TATTTGAAAATATCGTGTTTATCAACATGTACATGTATCAGATGTCAGAAATTGTTAAGACTTTTCAGGGTTCAGGGATTTGGAAAGCATGTTTAGAAGGAAATAATTTCAAAAGAGAATCCAAAAACTGGTGAAAAGGAAATGACTCAAATATTTGCTCTTGGCTGACTATTTTAGCACTAGTTACCCATAAAGAGGCAAATGATTTTCGTGAAAAAGCGCTTTCTCTCTCTCGTACATTTTCTTTGTCTCTTTTTTATCTAACGTAAGCTTTATTCTTTGTAAATATTGGATTTGAAACAATATTTTTCATATATTTATCAATCCTCCAGCTTACCAATTACCTTAAAAATGCCTTCCCCATTCGCCCTCTTAACTCTTCCAAAACAATTAAGATTGCAAGTTTTCTCTCACACAACGGCGATCGATCATTGATGAAAGTGAATAAAGAATTGGAGAGATATTTGCAGAGAAATCGATTATTCCCGAGAGAAAATTCTTCAATTGAGATTCTGGATCGGTGAAAGTGTTTCAACGTCCCAATCACTTATTCAACTCACGTGTTATGCTTTGGCCATTTCCCCGTGGAGTTCATTTTCGACAACCATGGAATCAGCTTATGCAAACTTGAAGCTACAAAACCGATCGATGTAAAAAATGAAACATTAGAACAATTTATGATAATGAAGGTTTCAATTGCTCTCGAACAATAAGGCCAAAAACGGCCACAAAAATCTACTCATCGTTACCCAAATAAAAGAGATGATTCAGATGATTCAGATTCGACAACGAAGAATCAAATTGCTATTGTGCCACGTCGTCTTCGGCCAATAGATCAAGGGAAATATCCAATTGCTTTTCATTCAACTTTCTTTAAGGCAATTGGTAAATTCCGAGCTCAATATATTCACATAGAAATTGGAAATTGGTCGGCCAATAGCATCACAATGACTCAAGAAAAACAAAACGAAATCAAACTGAAAAAATGGCTCAACTTGAGGAAATTTATCCAAACTACCCAGTTGAACAGTTGAAATTCGTGTTCTCGCAGTTTTAACCAATGACTCAATTGTCTAATCTTTTGCGGAGATCTCTTCCACGAAACTCACTTGTATCATCGATTCGATAAACTCCGATAGGAAACGGGGAAATCACTGGTGAATGCATTCGAAGTATCGATTGAATCAAGACTGTCACTTGTTTGCCTTAAATGCTCCAATCGATATTCTCATCGAAAATGTTTCAAGAAAATTCCATCTTTCATTAAAATAGTCAATCTCAATACGGAATTTCCAAATTCTCCATCAGTATTTTCTCAAATTGTCATGAGAAAACTTTGGAAAAGGATTCGAATTTTCGTTTTCTCTTCAGATTTTAACAATGAAGAGGCTCAAGATTTCTATAAAGAAATGAAGAATTCTATTTCAGAAATGGGGAATCTTCTTCAATACAAAAGAGACCAAAAAAGTCGGAAAAAGGTTTGAGAATTTTCTTGAAAAGGAAAATTTTGAAGGAAAACTTTCGAAGTATTTGGGATAAAAAACCTCGAGATTTATTGTAGAGGAAAAAATTATTTCAAATTCAATTTCTCGGCAAGTCAATCCCGTGTTCTGATGACTGTTCTCTGTCGCCACAAATATTTCGAGGAAGAGCTCAACTTCGCCTGTGTGATGAAAACATTTGCGAATTCTGAAGTTGGAGAGTTTTTGGTTGAATGATGGACTATTTGATGACCACAAAAGTTATATTTTGTTATCTTTTTCAATGTCAAGAATTCATTTATTCTCATCATTTTCTCCAACTTCTTCAATAAGCAAGTAGTTTTTCACAGATAAAAAGAAATCAAACACTTTTCAGAAGAAATAATTTACTCTTAATTGTCAATCAAAAACTTTTCACTTTTGAATGAAGCCTATCGTCATCAAACGCCCAAAATCATCAAGTTTCTTTAAAAGAAAATCTTCAATTTCAAGCGGATCTGTAAAGAAACTAAACTTTCAACTTTGCTAGGCTTAAATTTTCATTCCTTTATTACGAATAAACAATTTCCAATCTGAACAAGAAGAGAAACCACAAATTCCCTCCACATTTCAAATTCGAAAATTTCAAACGCTTTTTCTGGAGATCACACTCATTCGACCGTTTCGACCGCAAACCATTTTTCTGTGCCACTCTTTACCAAATCCTGCCGTAAGCACATTTTTTTTACACAAAATCAAAAGATTTGAATCGTTTTCTAAAGCATTTTCTTCTTTTTTTTCTTCATTCTTCTTAATTCTTCATTCTTCAAGGATATATCAGTTTTGAGAAGGAATCTAATTTTGGCAAAAATTTCAGGAAAATAGAGGGCAATTGAATGAAAAAGACGCGAAAATTCATATGAATGCGGCCCGTGATCCGCAGCCGTGCGGGCCGTGCGGCCCGTGCGCCTCGTGATCCGCAGCCGGGAAGCGTCACACCATGTGCTTTTTTTAATTGGCCCATCGCAGGTGCTCTGAGAAACCACGTGATGCGCCATCACCGGAAATTCAAGGAAATTGTGACTGGGAAGAGGGGGGTTGAGGGAGTGGGCTTTTTCTAGAGGGGAAACACACGACAGTGTTGTGCAATATGGGAACACAAGAAATCAAAGATCATTTCCAAAGGAAACTAGACTCATTTCGGTATTTGTTTCTTTCAGATTTCACCAAAAACATTTAAAATACAATTATGTAAGTTGATTAGCATGGAAAAGTGTTGGTTTTAGTAAATATGGACATGAATTGGGCAAACTGGGCAAACTTCAATCGATTGTAGCTCTTTTAAATGAGATTTGGGGTAATCTTGAGGACTGTTTCTCTAAAAATAGAGTTCTTAACGAACATCTTAAGCTATAAAATATCAATCCAGTAAAACGGTCGCCGATGTTTGGTAAAAAGTGAATACGGTAGAAAGGTGATAAGGCAAATAGGGGCTCTAATTTTCTAAAAGGCATTTATTTCAGAAAACTATTGTAGCCAATCAGTCAACCATTCAACTAGCCTAGTTTTGATAACATTGCATCAAAGAATTAATTTTTGAGTGTTTTTTCTAAAAAACAAAAAGGGCTGATCGACAGTACCAGGGACGAGAGTTCGAAACGCGAACACACTATCCACTAGGCTCGAGGAATGCTGGTTTTTACCCGCCTGAACGCGTTAAGTTCAGGCGGGTAGTAAGCCTGTCGCTAGCTTACCGTTTGGCGAAATTGGTCGAAACTTTTGAAGGTATATCTCGAAAACGGCTTATGAGAAATAGAATTTGGAAGGAGTGTTTGGGATGTTCCTACCCAGCGGGTGTTTGCAGACCCTCGGAATCAGATCGCTTTTAAAATGTAACCTTAAGAGGCTCCTGGTCAGTCAATGATATCAAAAATTGGGCCGACTGGCAGTTTGCTGACGGTAAATTTAAATCATGTGCCTTTTAGAAAATGCACTACGTGCTTTACCACCGGAGACTGTACCATTCTTGAAATTAAATATTAAAATTTAATCTTGAAGTCATAAAAACCTAAATCCAAGACAGATGTTAAAGAAAAAGCCAATTTTTTTGCAACCTAACGCTCCACATAATTACAGTCGCACCCCTAAATTTTGCAGAAGCACGATTTCTAAAAATTTTTTGATCAAAGTTGTCATTTTTTTATTACAAAATTGTGTATTAAAAAAGAAATTTCAAGCGAAGCTCCTAAAACTTTTCTTTTAATCTTTCCGAAAAACTTTTGGAAAATCCACAAAATTATAAACGCAGTACAAAAAATACTTTATTAACCAAAACAAAAACAATAACTTGAGCGTCAATTTCTATTTCAATAATCAGTAGCAGCTCGATTCCGCTGAATTAGCTGAAAACTCGATCATCCAATGCCGTGCTAGAGGCTATCAATCAATAGTCGACGTGGTAGCGTCGATAATGGCAGGCTTGAGCTCATCAACATTTTGATATGTCTTGTTTCCGTCGTAAATTTTGCGCACCATGAAGCTCCAAACGTTTTCGATAACATTTAAGCCGGGTGAACGCACCGGCCAGGAGAGAAGAGGGGATTCTCTTGCGATGCAACCAATCCTATGTGACATTTGTCAATAGGTCCCGCATAAAAACAACGTTTTGCTGCGATTTCGTCTCCAAAAGACAAAATTTCACGTTGCAAGACGAACCGGTAATCAGATCCATTCATTATTTTTTTCCAAAGTGGTTTTTTGAAAAGATAGAAAAATGATAGAAATTTTCTTGAAATTTCCTTCTTAATACACAATTTAGTAATCAAAACTTTTCTCTTTTACAACTTTAATCAAAAATTTTTAGAAATCGTGCTTCTGCAAAATTTAGGGGTGCGACTGTAATGGAGCTTATGTGGAGGTGTGCTTTACTTTTTCATAATTCCATCAATGAACTAAGAATAACCAACTGATCACTAGGGAATTAATATTTTCTTTGCGTATCCATCGAGTTTCCTGAAAACACCTGCTGTTCTTGGCACTGTACCGCTCAAATTGTGCCGCAAAACCTTCTACTTCAAATCAAGAACTCGGAAATGTTTTTCCCGAGTCCCCAGTTGAGATCCCTGCTCTCAATCATGTTATACGATTGTTTTCATCCCGTCAACACCGCTATTCGCTTTTGGCTATCTATTTTGTCTCTCTATCAAAATCGTTGGCCTCAAAATATTACAAGAAAGTTATCGTCTTTCAACTGGTTAGTTGAGTGAGCAAGTTACTGGCTCAGTTGAACCCGGATGGATTGGATCTTGGTGCTGGATTGAGGCCTGCTTGCCCAATCAACCAGCTGGCTTAGCTGGTTTGAGCCTGGTTGTTGGATCAAATTTTTGCTCAATTCAATTAGACTCCGGTTTACTCTTAGTTCGGCCAGATCCTGAAACAGTTGTGTCAGTCCTGGTCCTGATCCAACTGGCCCAGATCATCAGGAAGTCATAGAAGCAAAAAATATTGCCCTTACAGGTATCCGCCTTCATCGGCGACATCATGATTTCACTTATCCGTCCGATCTTTCTAATGCAAATACGAATTGTGATTTTTCAAATGAGCTGGGATCTTCCATTTGTAGGGATTATGATAGCTTTAGTGAGTCTTCGTTCAAATAAACTATACCAAGGCTTTGAGGGTGGATATGGGATAGCGATATTTTTGAGTTATGGTTGCTTTATGAATGGCTCTCTCTACAAGATTATCACTCTTTATTCCCTTCCATCATATGTCGCATGGTTGCTGAATGTTTACTTTCTCGGTGGTTATGGAGCTGTTTTTGTGCTCGGAGCCACTTTTATGCTTAACATTTTGCGAACTGGTGGATTAAAGTGATGATCGGAAAGTGGTGGGAGATTTGGTTTTGGGGAAAAACTAGTGGATTAAGTAGGAGAGGCGGCTACAGCAGCCTTTAGTCAAGCTGTTGCTGAGGCAGACTTTGGGGCCGAGCCGGGGGATAGGTTCATAAGCCTGAGCTGGCCCTAGACTAGCAGGTCAGTCCAAATCAGGCAAGACAAGACCTGGCCTAGTTTTCGACCTTCGATCTCACTTTACTCGGGACCTGCACCTCACAAAAGCCCCTGTGTCGGTCGGGCCAGTCTGAACGCGGCCTTAGACCTGAACTAGCCTGACTTGACTATTCTAGCTGGCTTACAAGCCCAAGCTTTTTGGTGGAGAATCGAGATTTTTCAAATTTGAGTTCATGCTAACAAAGACAGCCTCACGGCTTCGAAGAGCCTTTCTGGGTTTTGTTCGGGTTTGATCAGTTCTTACAAGAGAACCTCTTGAACTTACCCTCGAGTCAGAAAATGATTTAGGTAAATACCATTCGATTGGAAAAAAATTAGCTTATCCGAGTCTGAGTGCCCAAACTTGCTTTTGGGGCTTTAAAACGGAAACATACAAGGTCAAATTTAATGAATTTTGACCGCTTTTCTCAATTTTCCGGCACAGTGTTATTAGTTACATTTTGCTGTCTTTAAGCCGTCCCAACAAGTGAGCTCTTAGTCTAGTGGATAGTGCGCTTGTCCATAACCACTTCCAGGTGCTTTCAATTCCCTTGCCCACTGGTTTTGTTTTTTAAAACTCTTGGTGTATCACGATTCCTCGTACTTGATTTTTCGTGACTCACAAGTAGAATTTTTATTGGATTACATGGGAAATGGAAAAAATGAAAGGGTTCAAATGATATAATATTTTCATTCTTCGAGAGTTTTCTTGTTACCTTGCAAAAATCATAGGTCTGTTAGGGCCGATTCCCTAGCCCAGATAGACCGAGCCGTGACTAGCCCACTTCAGCAGCCCACCTCAATGAGGTTTTGGCACCGATTTTCAGATCTGCTCATTCTTTATCAATTCTTCGTATGACCAATTCGATCGGCACTATGCGCTCTCACTTTGCCCGTGGTTGCTTATCAAGCTATCTGGTGAGCGATGGCTGTAATCTCCTCTCCTCTTGTTCCCCTCGGAGCGAGTGGCATAGCCATTTACAGTCTGTATCAAACATTCTTCAAGCCATCGAAAAACGATGAGTCAACGGACCAAAAAAAATTCAGCACCACCTAACCCGCCTGACTGTTTTGCAAGTAGCAATTAAATCAAATTCACTCGACCAAATTTTTAGGGCACTGTCATCATTGCATCCGGGCTCCTTATACGGATGCGTTATTCTATCGATGGTGGATATTTTTCGAAAAGGATCTTATTGTCGGCTTTCTCCTGATATCGGTTGGATCAAACAATATTCAGCCCAGTCAAAGAGCTAGCTCTTTTAGTTTCCGGAAGGGCAACATTTCTTACAAGGATTTTTCACGCATCATTCCTTTGGGTTCTTATTACAGATTTTTTGTCTCGAAAGCCTATCAATAAGTGATCGTTGAGTGGATTATTCCTTCCTTGTACGTTGTTGTTTCTTTGTTTGAAGAATAATTTTTACTCCTCGTGTGAACGTGTTTAAGAATCAGCACACTATAATGCAAGTCTCTGCCCCTAATACACCTACTGTCAAATAGTTCAGCAATAGTTCGTGTAGATCAGTATTACAAAGGTTTTCCAACAATTGTGTGCAAGATTGCAATTCTGTAAAGCTGTTTATTAAAAAAACACAAACTAACCAAATGAAGCACAGAAAATATCAGCGATTGAGTAATTCGGCAAAAACGTGACTGAGAACGCCGATGCAAGATAAGTGATCGTCGAGAAAAGTCCAATGATTTTGCCAGCCATGTGACCACTTTGGTTTACGGTAGTTTGCTCATAATTTAGCGCAGACCCTCAAATCTTTTGGGCGCCTATTCCTCTTTGTGAGTGCTCAGAATTTTTGTATTTTTGCGAATTTCTTGGCTGGAGTGCATATTACCACACTTCACAGGATTCAGATTTTTGATTTGTCGTTATCGCATTTTTACCCAGGAACGTACTCGTAGTGGGAGGGGAGGGTATCACCGTATCCAGACTCACTTATTAGTTTACAGAAAACACCAGATTTTTATCGTCAAATTTGTTTGCATCAATTCAGAACACATTTACCCATATCCAAGCAGTTAAATCCGCCAACTAACTAGTTAAAACCATAAAATTTTCTTTCCAACACACCTGTACCGGCACATTATTCAACTAATTATTTCAATGTTTTTTATGTTTCGATCGTTTTATGCAATAAATATTGAAAAAAATGCTTTTATTTGATCATTAAAGAAAAAGATTCGAGAAAAACTGAAAATTATATTGTGTCTTCAAAAATTATACTTCTTTGCACATCCAAAAACAGCTTTCATTTAAGAAAATCATTTCAAAAACTAACTTAATTATTTATTATCTCTTTTTTGCTCTTCAACCATCGCCAAATTCAAATTTGGGATGAGTGTCGGCAACGGAATAACTAAAAAGAAAGTAAGAAATGAAAGTTTTCCACCCACTCTGCACTCGTACGGTCTCTGATGCGATCCTGCGCTTGTATAATTGGTGAATGGACCAGCACAACCCTGTAAAGTAAAAAACTATCAAATGTTCAAAAAAGATATACACTACTGGACAATGAAATATGATATTTGAAAAACGATCGTCACTTTCGCGCGTCTGTAACTCTCTTGTCTTTACCGTGTTTCTAAATATTAATATTACCATTGTGTAGCCCTTGAAAAGAGCTTTCAGAAAATGTATAACACTAATAGAATCGTTTTCTAAAACATTTTCATCTTTTTTCTTCATCCTTCTTCATTTTCTTAATTCAAGGATATATCAGTTTTGAGAAGGAATCTAATTTGGCGAAAATTTCAGGAAAATAGAGGGCAATTGAATGAAAAAGACGTGAAAATTCATCTGATGCCCGTGCGGCCCGTGATCCGCAGCCGGGAAGTGAGCTGCGTCACACCACGTGTTTTTAATTGGCCCATCGCAGGTGCTCTGAGAAACCACGTGATGCGCCATCCCCGGATCACACTCTCGCATCTGGGAGAACGTAAGCGGTACAAATG